AACAATGTCACATCTTTAGAGTAAATTCCTTGAATCATCAGTGCGTAACAGAACTAAGGTCAATCAAACTACTAGTGCAATTTGCATCAGTGTAACCACCTCAGTGCAAGCTCCTGACCAAAGACACGCTGTACAGTTTACTCACAGGAATTACCATCCTGGATCAAAGACAATGGTCCATCTCATCAAGAATCCTGTTACCACTCATGGCCAGCACCAGATGCTTCATACGTGGTGCAAGAGAACCTGCCGTAAAGAGTTAACCTGTGCACAGGGAAAGTTTCTGCTAACCCTCCTGTTGATACCAGCTAGCACTGAGGCATGAGGGTTTATAATAGTTACAAAACAAAGAGTTTGGAAAGGATATAACTTGGATATTCTTGTTTATGTAAACATCTAATCTCTGTAATGGGTGCATTCATTCATCTCTCGCAAGCACCCTGGTTGACTGTGCATGCCTGCAGTTTTTCCTCTTCTCACAGAACCCCCCCTCCCCCATTGGCCACTGTACTTGTCAGGTTGGTCTTTGATGACTCAGCCCTTCGGCCAAGTCATTCTCTGTCCATGTGCAAAACAAACCCCCCCTTCCAGGGTACATAATCCAGAAAGTTCTGCAGCCCTCCCTGGGCTCAGTCTTCTAAAACAGCCCATCACAGCACCCTCAGTTGGGCATGTCCTTCTCTGTAGCCTTTCCTGGGCTCAGTCCTGCAAAGGTTCCTGCTCTCAGTGGAGCAGCACCCCCAAGGCCTCCTCCCTGGAGACTCTTTGCCTTCATTTGAGTCCTCAGTGTCCCCAGCTGAGCCACTCCTCTTGAACTCAGTTGGCTGACCATAGCTCCCCACTGACTCAGTCCTGGTAGTGCAACCCCTTTCCCTGGTGTGCCACACTTCTAATTCCCTTCCTAAAACCATAGCCACTTCCACCCAGGGGCTGGTGGAGGGGGGACCCAATCCTGCTCACTGCTCCAGGTCCCAACCCAGTGACTCTAAGTACAGCAGCCTTGAGCTGCATCCCTTTACTAATTGCTGCTCTGCATTTCCCTGGGCCACTTCCCCATAGCCTATCTTAGTTGAATCCAGGCAACCAGCCAGATGGTCCTTCCTCACTCCCCTGGTCCCTGCCAGTAACTACATACTTAGTCCCAGTAGCCAGTCAGGAGCCATGCTCAGGCTTCCAAGCCAGCCAGCTGCTCCCGTTTTCCCCACTCCCTGCCAGCAGCAGACTGAATTCACTCTAGGCCTGCAGCTCCTTTTATACCAAGCTGACGGGCCCTGATTGACTTCTCCCTGCAGCCTCTTTGCTGATTGGTTGCATCCCACGCAGCCACTCTAGGCAGCTTGGAGGACCTCTCTACTGCCCTTTTTGCGGCAGAATATGGCAGGGCTGTGAGGCCTCCAGTAGGGGGCCTCAGGGCCTAGTCCACCCCACCCCCACACACACTCTCTCTCTCATAACTTAGATGCCCCAGCATTCCTGGGGTAGGTAGCAAGTAGCCAGACTTCCAAAGAAAATGGAATTGATTATCATATTGAATTACATGTCAGACATATCCACCTTAATTGGAAATTACTTGGGAGTATATTTCTCTACCTATTTGGAGTGCTATAAAGGATACATGTTTGAGAAGTGCAGAAGCTATTGTCAGAAACCTCCAAGGGAAGCCTGTTAACAAATAAAATGTATCATTCTCATGGTTTTCTTTCTTAGAGTTTTATCCTGCTGCCCACCACCATAGTATTTAAGTGCCATCCACATAAAAACCCATAGCAAAGACCCTTAGGATCTGTTAGAAAACTGTGTAATAAATGATGTTAGTCAAATATATATACTAAATAGTGTTGGAGAAATGAATATTATATATAGTTTTATAAGAAAATATAAAGGAACTTTTGATTTTTGTAGGTCTCTCTGTTGACGCAGCATTTCAGAACTTAGCTGAAACGGTTTCACAGTTGTGTAAATCATGAAATCTCATTTGTGTGTCTCATCTATACATTCCTTGGTCTGTGCTAACAGTAGGGTGAAGCAGAGTTTCATAAGGGAACTGTAAGCTCCAGCTGCTCGCATCCCTCCTATCAAGACAAGCTAATAAATAAAAACCCAAGGCCACAAAAACAGACTAGTAAGAAAAAAAAACACCTCAGTGGAGCCAGTGTGGTTGACAGCACAGACTAGATGTCACAAATAGACAAAGGTAAGTTTTAGCAGGATAAACAAAAATGTATTAGTTTAGGTTAGTTATCGTGATTTATGCATGAAAACATTTTCATTAAGGGATTAGAATAGATACGTACACAGATGAGGTAATTTAATAAACTCAGTCTGCAAAGTAATGGAATAGGAGATAAAAAATAGGTGATTGACAACAAGAGATTCGAAAAGACATGGACCAAACTCAGAGACAAGAAATTTGAAAAAAATCACCCTGACCCCAGAAGAGGTAACTTGATTAGTTATCTTTCTCACCATGTATATATAATTCATAGGTGGTAACAGCATTGTCTTAAAATGTACAACATAAAGGCTAAAAGAAACTGTTTAAGTCTAAATGGAAGTGGAACTTCTTTTTCATCCAATAGGAATTAATGGAGTCTCTGGCACATGTTCCTTTTCAGGATAAAAAGTTTGGGCTGAAGTTTTTGTCTGATTAACAAAATCAAAATAATTTCCTTTTTTTGTTTGTTTCTTTTTGAGTGCACCCACAGGAGCAGCTTTTCCATTGACAGTGAGCAGTGCACCATAGGGAGCTATCCCACTGTGCAGCTGGCCACAGGGTGTTTTGGGAAGGGTTTGCAATGCCTCATGGGGGCAGGTTCAGCATCACATGATGCACATTTCTTAATCCCATCATTCCATGGGCATCCTACTAGCCGCTTTTCAACTGCCTGGTAACCTGCTAGCCAGCGATCTGTGTCAGAAAGCATGGTTCCTGCACTGCTCTTCATAGAATCACAGGGTTGGAAGGGACATCAGGAGGTCATCTACGCCAACCTCCTTCAGTCTTGGGCTGTGCGTTTTGAACACAAGGCTACAAGAGGAGCTCAACGAGGAGGCTATTCACTACTACCCTGACACCTCTTGGCCTTGTAGAAGCAGCACGTCTGTAGCTACGCACTAAAGGCAACTATTTGCCTCCCTTGCCTTCTTCTATTACTGTTGCAGCTCTTTTTTACATGGCACAGATGCATGTCCCTAACGTAGCCCTTCTTCTCCATACCCAAGCAAGTTCCTGTGGCTGGAGTGGAGCCCTTACTGCCATCTCCTCTCCTCACAGACCCAGGAGTTCCACCACTTCCTGTGTACTCCAGGTAGGAGCGAGTTTGCTGTGTGGAGCCGGTCTGCTCATCTGGGCAGTTGCTATATGAGCTCTCCACACCAAGCAGACAGGAAAAGCAAGTTCAAAACTTCCGGGGGCTTTTAACAGGGGAGAGGTTTTCACCTGTCTACCTGGATGCAGGGCAGCAGAGTGCAAAACGGTGACCAGAGTGGCCATGGTGGGAACTGTGGGATACCTCGTGGAGGCCACTTAAGGCAACGTAAGCAACGCAGTGTTTACACTGACACTGTGTTCGCTCTAACTACGTCAACCTAAGCTCCACGCCTCTCATTGAGGCGGTTTTATTATGTCAGCACAGAAAGCAAATTAAAATGACAGGACGAGCATTGCAATGTGTTCATCTCTATAGTTAGGTCAACGTACACTGCCTTATGTGGACAAAACTGTGTAGTGTAGACATGGTCTTAGTGATGCAAGTAAAGTCAGATGCTGCATTCAAAAAGAGATCAGGTATGACTGTCTTTATCACTGTCTGATCTTCCATTCATGTTCGACTTGGGTGGGTAAACTACTACTGAAAAGTCTCTGGCTGTAAGTGAATCTTGGACCATGTCTACACGATACAGTTTTGTGTAGTGTGGATGCGCTCCGCTGACACAAGAAGCATAGTGTGGACATGCAACAGCAGTTTAATTACAGTGGTGGCTGTACATTGATGTGACTTAAGTCGACTTAACTTTGTAGTGTAGACAGCCTTAGAATATAAAATCTTAACAAAAATTCTCTGTAGTTTTACACAGTGACGGATAAAACAAGCATGTAAATGAAGTTACCATTCCTGAAATGGTCACTTTTCAAAAGGTGAGAGTGCTGAGAACTAGGATACTGTGAAATACATTTAAACAGGAGCAGATTAGCAGGACTAAAGTTGTAGGGGGTTAACATCCCCAAGTTGTTTGATGAAACTGTGGAGTTTCTAGGCCAAATAAAAACTCAAAAGCTAACTCTTTAGTTTAGCAGAATGTAATTGAAATGGTCTGATCTATCACAATATTAGTGATAGTGTCTAGATGCATAAATTTATTTTTCTTGAGCTGGCACAAACAATTTTACAGGAGCATGTTACAACGTATAAAAATCAGACAGTCAAAGAGAAATCGGAGTACAGTGTAGATACAAATCCTTCACATCCAGACTGAAACAAATTCAGAACAGCTTTTCATTGCTCCTGTTAATGATTTAGTCTTAATTTAGGGTATATACCAAAGATATGTATTTGTTCCTGGAAGAAATATAGAAATTCTGCTTGTTGCATGTGACTATGTCATTATCCAAAAAGAAAGTTTTAGCTTTGAATAAAGCTAATATTGAATGTGTTTATAGCGTTTTACTGATTTTCAGTTTTAGAATAAATAATCTCGTCAAAATGCATACTGGAGAACATGAGCATCAATCCCACTTCCTCAACAGACACACTAAGAAAACATGCTACCCTGTGAGCTAATTCCCCTTTTCTCAAAAGTATTCCAAAGCAGTTTGTAAACAGAAAACTGTGTGCTAATCCAGTGTATGATATTCTACTCTAACAGTTCATATTTCAACTGTACATAACTTCAGTGTTATTGCTGTTGTGTTGGTCTTTCTACTCACAACAGAAAAAAATGTACTGTTTATCTAGCTTCCAACAGTAGACAGTAAAAGTTTTTAATATGTTGCAAAATACCTTGTTCGCCTCAGTAGGCTCAGTCCTTTTTAGCCTTGGAGACTCAGGTTTGGGGCAAGGCAAATCCTTATAGGTGGCACAGGCTCCTGCTACTCCTCTCCTCAGTCAGTCCCTTGTGCTTGTTTTCCTTTCCTTCCGGGGAGCGAGTGCAGCCTCCCTACTGGGAAGGTCTGGTGTCTTGCTGCAAACAGCCTACTGGCAACTTCCCTGCTCCCCTCACTCTCCCCCTCCTACCACCCAGAGAAGGGTTTGAAAAGGTCCCAAGTAGTTGGAGTCAGCTGAACCTAATTGGTTCCCTAGCAACCCCTTTTCCAGCGGAACCTTATTGCCCCTTGGTTCTCTCTCCTCAGTGGATAGGGAGGGGCTTTTCAATTCCCTGGGACTAATTACTACCCCCCTTTTGTAGCTGTTTGTCCTGAGTTTACCACAAATATTATTTACTTATTTATTTACAACTGCAGTATTTAGTATTTCATTTTGGAATTAAGCGATGGGGGAAAAATGAGAACAGCAGAAAAGAAGGTTTTTGGGATATGTGTAATCGTTTAAAGAGTTCTGATTACGTTTTAGAGTTATTTTTATTAAATAATCAATGGGACAAATCATTTTGTATTAATTGATTTCCCAATAATAAAAATCAAGTAATTAATTGTGTTTTAATAGCTTTGTTTGTGTATGAGACTTCTTCAGATAAATAAATATTAATTGCATTTTCTTCTGTTTGTTGTACATACAAGTCTTGAAAAATAAGAAATGCAAATTAAAACAAAAAACATCACATACAAGAATACCGAAGAGTAAAGAAAAAAAGTTTTGTAATTAATTGCTATTTGTTCCCTTCCCTGACACAGCCAAAAAAAATGTTCATGGAGAATGCGGGCATCGATCCCGCTACCTCTCACATGCTAAGCGAGCGCTCTACCATTTGAGCTAATTCCCCAGCTGTATAAGCCATGGAGTAGGTTATTCATAAAATGTTTTCAAGCAGTTGTCCTCAAATACTGCAAGCTCTCCAATCAGAGAATAAAATAGTGTCTGATGATTCACCATCTAGCACTAGCAAGGACTCCCAGATACTTACTCAGCCTACTCAGAAAGTACAGTTCTTTCAAAGACTACAATGTTTCTGTCACCTCTGAGAGGCTGTGTCATCAAGCTGACCAACTGTGATCTTCACCTGCTCTCATCCTTTTGTCTCTTCAATTCCTTTTTCCACATTCAAAATGGAGTGTTCTATTGTTTAAAAGGTTTCAGAGTAACAGCCGTGTTAGTCTGTATTTGCAAAAAGAAAAGGAGTACTTGTGGCACCTTAGAGACTAACCAATTTATTTGAGCATGAGCTTTCGTGAGCTACAGCTCACTTCATCGGATGCATACCGTGGGAACTGCAGCAGACTTTATATACACACAGAGAATATGAAACAATACCTCCTCCCACCCCACTGTCCTGCTGGTAATAGCTTATCTAAAGTGATCATCAGGTGGGCCATTTCCAGCACAAATCCAGGTTTTCTCACCCTCCACCCCCCCACACAAATTCACTCTCCTGCTGGTGCTAGCCCATCCAAAGTGACAACTCTTTACATAATCAAGACGGGCTATTTCCTGCATAAATCCAGGTTTTCTGGATGGGGGTGGGGGGGATGTGAGAAAACCTGGATTTATGCAGGAAATAGCCCGACTTGATTATGTAAAGAGTTGTCACTTTGGATGGGCTAGCACCAGCAGGAGAGTGAATTTGTGTGGGGGGGTGGAGGGTGAGAAAACCTGGATTTGTGCTGGAAATGGCCCACCTGATGATCACTTTAGATAAGCTATTACCAGCAGGACAGTGGGGTGGGAGGAGGTATTGTTTCATATTCTCTGTGTATATATAAAGTCTGCTGCAGTTTCCACGGTATGCATCCGATGAAGTGAGCTGTAGCTCACGAAAGCTCATGCTCAAATAAATTGGTTAGTCTCTAAGGTGCCACAAGTACTCCTTTTCTTATTGTTTAAAAGCAAGCACATCTGATTACTCTCATTGCAGGCTATATTTTGACCCTAGAAATCTTCACAGCATTGCTTTAACTGGTTTCTTGAGCACTGAGGTTTACCAACATGCATCTTATTCTCAGAATAAAACACAATGTAACAGTTAGCGTCACTGGGTTAATATTCTTTGATCAATAGAAAAATCTGCAACCACTCTCAGTCAGTCTCCCCAGCCACTACTATCACAAGACCACAGGAGGGGCTCTCTTTTTGGGAATTAACATCTCAATTACAGTGGTTGCACAAGAAAAGTTTCTTCTATTTTTGAAAAGACATGCCAGTTTGAAAGACATTCTATATTATTTAAGATAGAGAATACTACGAGCACACAGTTAATGGATTGACTAAATGTAATTGTAAATGAGATATCATCATTGAGCAGGTCCCTGGCCCCACACCCAGGGCCCTGCCCCGCCTCTTCCCACCCCTGCTCCACCCCCGCTCTGCATCTTCCCGCTCAGTTCCGCCCCCTCCCTCAAGCACACCGTGTCCCAGCCTCCTGCACGCCACAAAACAACCATTCACAGCAGGCAGGAGGCGCAGGGACGGAAGGGGAGGCACTGATCCGCTGGGCCCGCCAGCAGGCGGGAGGCGCTGGGGAGAGTTAGGGGGAGCAAATAGTGGGGCTGCTGGTGGGTGTTGGGCATCCACCATTTTTTCCCCTTGGGTGCTCCAGCTCCACCCCACCCACGGAGTCAGCGCCTATGGACCAGGTATGTTTCCAGTGCGGTCCCACAATGATCAATTCTTGGACCTACACTATTTAAAATTTTTATCAGTAACCTGGAAGAAAACAAAATCATCACTGAAAGTTTGCAGATGAGACAAAAACTATAAAAATAAAAAAATAATGAAAATAATGAAGAGGTAAATTGGGCACAAACAAACAATATGCATTTTAATACGGCGAAATGTAAATGTATTCTTTGAGGAACAAAGAATGTAGGCCATACTTACAGGATGGGAGATTCTATACTGGGAAGCAGAGACTCTGAAAAGGATTGGAGATTGTGGTGGATAATCAGCTGAACGAGGTCTCAGTATTAGATATGAAAATGCTCACATTCCATGACAATTGAACACATAGTTTACAGAAGAGTAAAATAATGTTAAATAATGCTAATCTGTTCCACCTCATAGTTAGCTGTAACATTGAGTACCTTTCCCAGAACTGAAGAACTTGAAAGCTTGTCTCTTTCACCAAAAGAAGCTGACACAGTAAGAGATTACCTCACTCTTTTTGCCTCTTTGATATAATGTTAAAGGTGTTTTTATGGACACCAATTTCTCTTGGAATTGCCACACGCCTCCTGGTCACCTTGCTTTTTCCATGCTATAAGAACAGACACATGACACAACCCTCTGCCCTAACCATATTTGCAAATCGGATGACCTGATTAAAAAAATCATACCTGACATAGCTTTTACAAAAATAATATTTATACCTACTATAACTCAACCTATTATGCCTCAACTCAGCTGAATGGCATTATCCTTTGTACTGGTTTCAAAGTGTGAACATTCTTTCAGTACTTATAAAAGAAAATAATGTGTGCTGTCAAAATTATGTTTATCTTCCATAACCAGTTAAAAAATATAATTCAAGCATATTGTGCACACCCCTTTCTTAAAATGTGGTGGATTAATTTAATATGTACATGTATTTTGATCCCTTATAAAAATGTTAAGAGCAGGATGCATCTAGATTTTAAAAAGAAAATAAGGACAAGTGTTTAGAGGGGTGAAATATCAGAGACAAAAATCACAAGCAACAAGTGGCAACTCTTGCTGTCCTTTTATTTAATTTTTTCAGCTGTCAAGAATTACCTCTCTCGTGTGCATGCACCAGTGATAATCTTCAAGAAAAGAGAATATTACAAAACCAATCTTTCCACAAAACAAAACCCCCAAAAAACCACTTTATAAAATTAGAAAGCCTCAAGAAGTAACTTAAAATATGCATATTCTTCAGAACTGAAAAAATGGGTCCTTTTGAAATAAATATTCTCTGATTTAAAAAAAAGGTACTGGAGAATGTGGGCATCGATCCCACTACCTCTCGCATGCTAAGCGAGCGCTCTACCATTTGAGCTAATTCCCCTTCCTAGGGGAAAAAAATCAGGTCTCTCTCAGTCACTGTTTTCTACACCTCATTACCAGAATGACTCAGCAGAAATGACACTGCAATGTGATCAGCCACCATAAATTCTGAGTTTCAAGCACAAGTTATTTCAGAATGAAACATTCTGCTTTGCAGCCAAGAGTAAGAAAACATAGTTCAGATTGTTAGCTGACTGGTAGTGGGACTAAAACCCATATTCTTTACCACAACAGACTCCAATGAGACTGCAGAAATTGTTTATTTTAGGACAAGTCCTGAGATCTTTACAAGCAAGCAAAAACAAACTGCTTTGGATTTTATTAATCTGAGTTTTGCTTCAGTAAAATATGAGTCAAGAGCTCAGCATCTGACTGTTTACAAATTATCCAACTGAGCGGTAACTGGATCACACGCCTTTTCAAAGAGGTCTGCGTATCCAAACAAGCTGTAGACTCATCTGCACAACTGAACAGTTATGACACTTAAGCTGTTTCATGTTGCTTGGACTTAGAAATACAATAAATGGACTGAACTATTTGTATTATGTCTTCATGGGATTTAAAACGATACAAAATTATACATCAACATTTCAAAAGCTACAGGCAAGTAAAAAGCAAAAAGATTTACAAAAGCTAAATCCTGAACTGTTCCACGTCTATTCCCCTTAGAGATGTTGTGGCTTCTTGTATATCTATGTTTTCCTTTAGATGAAACAAATTCCTCTCATATATTACATTCATCAGTGTTATCATTCATCTTCTAATTGAATTCTTTGAGTTCTTTGGAAGTAATTTCTGTCATATCAACATACCAATCTCTTAAAATTAGGACTCGAAAGGTTCTCCAAGCCTGAAGTATCAGTCTCTTGCATAACCCAAGATAATTGCAATTCATCTTGAAAAGATTTTTGTAGTCCTATTTACTGATAAAACCTCATATAGCAAATATTTCATTTCATATTGGACTCCTGGACACTTGTTTAAATGTGTTCTACTTGGACAGTGAAGGGTTCTGGTAATATGGGAAACAGGATGGTAATTTGTTATATTATTTGGCAATATATTAGTACTAGAAATTCCTGGTCAAATATTACCAATGTTTACTTCTGGGGCAATTCTAAGCCAAAAAGTTAAAAATTCTGCACATATTTTAAAATTCTGCATATTTTATTTCGCAAAATAACACTATATAATCATACCAGTTTCAACTATTTTGGTAATTTATTTCAAAATACCTGTCAGCAATTATGTCTGTAACAATACAGACAAAAAAATCCCCCCAGCAGAAGAGAGTTAAAGAAACCCATATGACAACTCAGTGCCTGTTTCTCTGCTTCTTCCCCCTCAGAGCCCAGCCAGGGAGCCAGATACTACACCGCTCCCCCCAGAGCCCAGCTGCAGGGCGCCCCCAAGTCCAGACACTCGCCCCCACCTCTCGCAGCCAAGCTGCGCACCCCTCCCCAGATCAGACACTCGCACCCGCTTGCCTCCAGAGCCCAGCTGCGGGGTGACCCCCCAGCCCAGACACTCACACCCGTTCCCCCAGAGCCCAGCCACAGGGTGCTCCCAAGGCCCAGACACTTGCACCCTTCCCCCAAAACCCCAGCTGCGCCGCGCCACCCCCCACCGCCCAGACACACACACACCCTTTCCCCAGTGCCCAGCTGCAGGAGTAAGTATTATAGAAATATACTGAATCATAAAGTAGCGGATGAGTCAGAATTAAATTTGTAACATATGCCTTTCTTGTACAGTTGTGCTTGGATAGTTTTTGGCTAGAGTTTCAGAGTATTCGTTATTGAAAATGAAGAAAGAATTCATACATTCAGAACTGGGTGAGATTGCACGTGCAGTTCTGCTCACTGACTTGGTGTTCCAGCTCTCTGAAAAAAAAAAAAAAGAGTCAGAGGTCAGTTTCAGAAAGGAGGATTTCCCTCCCTTTTGCTTACAATTATAAGGCATGACTATTCTCACATTGGTGTAAAAAGAATAACTCTTTACAACAATTTTGTTACTTCAGATTCTAATCACATACTGATGTATCTTAGATCATTAGCCTTTCTTTGCCATCAGGATAAATGGGACACTAAAAGAGGCTGTGATGGGATGAAGCAAGGATGGAAGGGGTGTGTATTGTGGGATGGGGTCCTGGATTTTTACTTACTTCACATTCATAGTTTGTATAGGAATGGGAACTTTGCCAGCCTACTGTGCTTTGACGCTGTAACACATGTGACGCTGATGTCCACAAAAATCAAATTTCCGGCTCCTTCTCTGCTTCACTCCTCTACCTCCTTGTTGTCAGTGCCATCTATCCTCTTTGTTTACACATTTGGGATTGTCCAGGCTAAACCTAAAGCACTTGGACAGGTATTTGCTAATTCAAAGTATCTATTATTAATTATTTATAGAAAAACTACGGTGTGTGTTCACTTAACATGTACAATGAGAAAGAAGTAGCTGGAGAGCCAAATAGCTGTGAGTTTGTTTAACCCTTCCCCCTCCCAAAAAGGGAAACTTGGGAATTTTGTTTCTGTCCTGAATAAAGGAGGAATGCAGATGTGGGAAAGAGTTTAGGGTGATTTTATTTGTTTGCTTTGACCCAGAAGAAAGAGGGAATTAAGGAGTTTTGCTTAATCCTGAGAAAAAAGAATCGATGAACTCCACTGTTTCTCTGACCCTGGAAAGGGGGTACTTTAGGACTATATTTATTACATGCCCGAAAGAAAACACTTCTTGTTTCAGTTTCCTTTCTTGATTTGACTGAGATTCTTTATGGCAGAAGGACTACTCACATGTAGGGACATTCCATATATTCCCCCTCTTTTCCCACTGCCTCTCCAATATTCAGAATACTACCAGTGAGCACATTAACTGAACTCCAGTCTTTGCAGGATAGCTGGGTTAGAGCCTGAATATGTATATTTTCCCCTGATAAGTGGGATTACCTTTGTTCTTTTGTAATACTCTGAAATTACCCCTCGGACACTGATTTAAAATAGATTCTGTAGAACCAAATACTTAAATAAAACTCAACTCCTCCACTTTCCATGAAACATAAAATTCATGGGACGACATAGTAGATTTTAACTCTTTTCTGTATGGGGGAGGGAGCCTTACACGCTAACTCAGATCTTTGCCATGATCAAAGAAACAGACGTTAAAGATGGAGGCCTATTAAACACCTAATCCTGCACTCATTGAGGTTGATGGATTGTACCCTACCGACAGTATATTCTTCAGAGCTTTGACCAGCCTAGTTTTGCCACCAAGACAGCTGCGAAATTTTACAGTAGTTTTCCCAGAGAGAAGTCCCTATTCTCACCTGTCTGTCCTCAGAATTAGGGTTGGACTCCTTATTGCTCTTTTTCCCCAGCATAGGTCTGTGTCTCAGAGGTTTCAGTCTCACTCTCCTGTCCTGACAAGTTCGCAACGACCGAGGTATTGTGGCATAAGGGCTATCAGACACTAGCAAAAGGAAAAAAATATGAAAGGAATTAGCAAGGGACAAAGGTTTGACTGGAAATCTGAAATGCACATGTAATATATAGGTGCATGTGTCCCATTGTGAGATGGTTATGAATATAACCATCCACAGAAAGGGAAATTTAGGTTAGACATTAAGGCCTGGTCTGCACTGGTGGGGGGGATTGATCTAAGTTACGCAACTTCAGCTAAGTGAATAATGTAGCTGAAGTCAACGTACTTAGACCTACTCACCGCAGTGTCTAGGGTGAGTCAACTGCTGCTGCTCCCCCGTCGACTCTGCCTGCGCCTCTTGTGGCGCTGGAGTACAGGAATCAACGGGAAAGCGCTCGGGGCTCGATTTATCGTGTCTAGACTCAACGGGATAAATCGATCCCCGCTGGATCAATCACTGCCCGCCGATCCCGCGGATAGTGTAGACATACCCTAAGAAAAACATCTTATCTCTAAGTGTAGTTAAGCACTGGAACAAATTACGTAAATTGTGGAATCCCTGTCATTGGAGGTTTTTAGGAGCAGGTTAGCCAAACATCTGAAAGGGATGGTCTAGATCAGTGCTACTCAAAGTAGTGGTCTGCGCACCGGTGCCGGTCCACAAGCCATCGGCTGTCGATCTGCGCGCACATCGGAAAAAAAATTGCCGGTCCCCCATATCAGATAGCTTGAGAAGCACTGGTCTAGATAATACTTAGTTCTGCCTCAGTGCAGGGAACTGAACTAGATGTGCCTTCCAGTCTGACATTTTTATGATATTAAGGTGGCAATGGGATTGGAGGGATCAGGACAGACTGCAAACCTAATTCTGGCCCTCCAATAAGAGCACCACATCCCTCACCACTTGCTCTGTAACATGCTTCACAGCATCAGAGCTCCTTTGTTCCAGTGCAGTTCCATCTCAATCATTTTACAGTTTAAACAACACAAAAATCCACGCCTTTCTCCTTTTCTTGTTACACATCCACAGTAAGAAGCATTGCACCCAACCCTCTCTCTATTACATTTTTCTACACTCTGCCATGCACTGGAATTTGGAACCCTCCGAATCTTGTTGCCAGAGAATCTGGCACACTTTAGAGTCTGAACGACATATAAAGCACCCAATGATTTAACTGAGAAGAGCCCAGCAGAGACACAAGGCCCAAGTTCATACTCAAGATAATATGGTAATACAGTAATAGTTTTAGATTTAATGCATATCCACTTCCCTCCCTGCCACCCAGTACAATAATAAAATGAATATAAATCAAGGGAAACCAACTTGGGAAAAATGTCAGGAGGAAAAAGAAGGGGATGGAAATCTCTGGAGGTGGCATGAAAGCCCAGGGGTGAGCTGGAAGACCACTGGGTAGTCAGGGAACAGGAGGAAAAGTCACAAGCAGGCACCCTCGTAGTGATAAGCACTCTAAACTTGACCTCACTTTTCCATCTGCCAAATCCAGTATCACCAACTTCAAGAGAGCAAAATTCATGAGTGAGAACCCCCAAAATCATGAGATTGGCCTGAAAAATCATGACTATAAAAAAATCCATTATATTGTGTTTTTTAGGTCATTCTCTTCATTTTTGAACCCCCCCCCATCCCCAGGGTGTGTGCATGTGACAATTAGTGTTGCCCGCTCTCCCGCATGTACTAGATAACATGATTTTGGCCCGTGCTGCAGGTGCTCTCACCCCCACATCTGCCTGTCTTCTACCCAGCAATTAATCCTGTCCTCCAGTCCATCAGTTATGTTCCCCACCCAACCTCCCTCAATTCAGTCCCCAGCTACCATCATCACTACCCCATCAGTTCTATCCCCGCTACCCCATCAAACCTCACTGCCCATAGCTCACCCTTTCATCACTCACTCCATCTGCTCAGAACCCACCATCAATACCGTCCCCCACCCCATCAGATCCCACCATACTCACTTCGGCCCCCTGCAGCCCCCAGGCCATAGTTCAGCCCTCCCAGCCTCACCTCTGCTCCTCTTAGGGTTCTTCACCCTCCCCAGGCTTCGGGGAGCTGCAGTGGGGTCCCCTCTCCCACATCCCAGGCTGACAACCAGAGCCCCGCTGCACAAAATCCTGAGATTTAAGAGTTCTATTGTGAGATCATGAGTAAGGCTTAATTTTGCTTAGAAATCGCATCTCTCATGATAAATTCATGAGAGATGGCATGTCTGCAAATCCTCCTGCAATGACAAGCACTTCCAAATCCCCTTTCCCTTGCGGCCAGAACTGACAAGTACTCCAACTTCCAAACCTTACATACTCCTTCCTCCCATTCTCAATTTGACCTACTTTTTCCACACCCTGCAGCTGTGCCCCTAGAAGAAAGGTGTTCTCATTTTCCATATCAAAACATGGTCAGCTAAGGAGAGAAGCAAATTAAAGTGATTATGCACAGTGAGAAAATAATCGTTCTTACAGCTGGCAGTATCACTCAGGCTGTGTAGCGATTTCAACAGTTGGCTGGTGGGAAGCCCTATTAGCCGAGAAGCCTGGCAAAAATAAGTAAGACCATTGCACTTTCTATTCGGTGAGGTCTTCGGGTAGTCAGTGGGACTCTTCTGCTGAAAGCTCCTCCAGAAGTTTCTTTGCTTTATCACATAATAACTAGGAAAATAAAACTCAGTTACTATACCCTGAGGATGAAACCATCAACGCACCATGGACCAAGAGCAATTTTTTCAAAAGTGCCAGAACGACTTGGGCTTCTAAGTCTAATTTCTAAAAGTCACTTAGGTTCCTTTGGCTATTGGCACCCAACTATATAAATGGGAAACATCCAGATCTGCCACAGACTGTCTGCACAATAAAATACTGGATCTTGTGTTAACGATTTCATAGCAATTAACCAGCAATTCCCTTCCTGAGTATTAAATATTTCTGTATACCCTCATAGATCATGAATTGTGACCATTACTAAGATGCAGTGATAAATAAATGTGAACAGATTTTTTCCCCCTTAATTCTCCCCCCTTGATTTGTTTCAGGCGTTTTTTGTATGAAAACAATAGAAAAATTATATTAAAAATATCTGTGTTGAGGAGATCAGCAGAGGGCCAGAATAAAATGGCTGCCTACAGGCTGAGCTTTGAGGGGATAGCAAAGGAATCTGTCTCCACTGACCCCCAAAACCTACTAAATTCCACAAAAGAAACGCACAGAGTTGCAAGGATGGATTTGCCAAGAAAATCAAAAAATTCAAAAAGATACCTCACTGAAAAGAGTGTTTTTGGCTCACAGCTTGGAGAGACCTCTCAGACTCCACATGAAGACTTTGCAGCCAAATCAGACAGAAATGCCAGGGCTAAGAAAACTCAAATGGGAACCAAAACAGACGTTCTGGAGATGATCTCTGAGTTTAAGGCCATGAGAGATGATCTGATGAACAACTTCTTGCAGTAAAGAAGGAAGTTGAAAACTTGGAAGAGCAAGTCACTGTGCTAGAGACTGGCCTCAGAGAAGCAAGTGAGAGAAAAACAGAGCTGCAGAGCCACAAGGCACTGATGGAATACACAGAGAAAGCGAAATGCAGCTTAAATTAGTTGATATAGAAAACAGATAGAGAAGGAACAACATCAGAAATATAGGGGCTGCCTGAAACCACTGAAGGAGGAAGCCCAATCTGGTATGTAAAAAACTTTTAATTGTGGAGTTGTTACATCTGAGCTGTCTGGAAGAGGTAAAAGTGGAGACAGAACATATGGCACTGCTCCCCCTGCCTGGGCCTCATAGATTCATACACTTCAAGGCCAGAAGCAACCATCATAATCATTTAGTCTTACCTCCAGCACATCGCAAGCATCAGAGCCTCACCCATCCACTCCTGCAAGAGGCTCATATCTTCTGGCTCAGTTACTGAAGTACTCAAATCTTCATTTAAATATTTCAGGTTACAGAGAATCCACAATTTACTCTAGTTCAAACCAGCAAGTGACTCAGGCCCTATGCTCGTAATAAAAAACCTATACACCTAATTGTGAAATTTTACAGTTAGGTATATAATTGATTTAGTTGATCTTGGTCCTGCTTTGAGCAGGGGGCTGGGACTGTATCACCTCCTGAGATCTCTTCCAACCCTAATCTTCTATGAATCTATGATTCATGATTATTAGCAGAAAAAAATAAAATATTAAAAAAGCCAGAGAGCATTCAGAGCTCATGCTCCAAGGCCACAAGCTGCAATTTTTCCATGATCTCTCCGCCCTAACTTTAAAAAAAGAGGAGAGAGCTGGGGAAAATGACAGCATCACTTAAGAGGGCAGAATTCTGCTACAAATGGGAATTCCCATTTAAACTCTTATTCAGCTTCCAAAATTAGCATTTTACACTAAAAGTGGCAAAAAGAGTCCTGTGGCACCTTATAGACTAACAGACGTATTGGAGCATGAGCTTTCATGGGTGAATACCCACTTCATCGGATGCATGTAGTGGAAATTTCCAGAGGCAGGTATAAATATGCAAGCTAGAATCAGTGATAATGAGGTTAGTTCAATCAGGGAGGATGAGGCCCTCTTCTAGCAGTTGAGGTATGAACACCAAGGGAAGAGAAACTGCTTTTGTAGTTGGCTAGCCATTCATAGTCTTAAGGATTAAACAAAGACTGAATGGCAGACATCCGGAATGAACAACTGAACAGTAACTATGCTAATGTTTTAAAGCAAATAGTATGAAGGTTGCTTTAATCGAGGTGATCAGTAAAGCGTTCTTCTGTATTTAATATGTGGAGGAAATAAAGGACTATAAGGGGGGGAATACCAAGGATGGAGGAAATAGAGAGGGGGTGGGGAGGAACCATTAGGGGTACTGCGTAAATCCTTCTCGTAACTCAAATGATCAGATAGGAATTTATCCATAAGGGCGAGGGTCAAGGTCCTTTAGGTGAAGATTGTACCTCCATTTGATTGCAAGAGAAGTAGTCCAAGTGTTCATGACAGGGTAGTACAAGGGTTTAGGGTTCAGAAAAGCACAGTTATCTGGGGGCTGTTTTACATGTTATGCTGGTATTTTATTTATGAAATTAGAGTAAAGGTAATGCAGGAGAGGAGAGAGGATTAATATGAGAAATAGATATGAAACTTTATGAACAAAAAACATGTCATCAAGCAACTGAAGAATCACAATAATTTCTAGTTTTTCAGGACACTAGTTACTCTCAATGGTTCTTCCTTTTAAAAATGATATCTTTGAATGTCAAAGGGCTAAATAATGTCATTAAAAAACAAAGTCCTGGTAGAACTGAAAAAACCCTCAGATTATTCTACTTCAAGACACTCCTGTTTAGGAGTGGCAAATAATGGGCAGGAAAGGTTACTGATTTCAACAGACTTTTTGCTTCAGCTTAAAAATAAAAAATATATATATATATATTTGCATACATGGCTGATGAATGCACTGATGCAAACGGGCATCAAGTATTACGTCATTGTGTACGTTATCTTGATGTCAGTAGGCCAGCAGATGCATTTCTAGATGTCCAAGTTATAGAAGATACATCGGTTGCGTCTGTGACAACCCACATCTTGAAGTGTTAAATGCTTGTCAATTGGACCCCAAACGGATGGCTGCTTGTGCATTTGATGGAGCTGCAGACTTCTCTGAAAGACATGGTGGAGTACAAGCTTTGCTCAGAGAAAAGTATAACCCTAATCTTTCCTATACACACTACAGAGGCCATCTTCTCCAACTAGTGCTAGTTCGAGCTGTAGACTCTTCAAAAGACATTTTAAAAGCTATAAATGTAATGTCTTCATTATATTCTTTTTTCAGCAAGAGTCCAGAAAGACTGAATATCCTGGAAAATACAGAAGATACACTGGGACTGAAGTTCAAATTAGTCCAACTTGAGAAAACCCTCTGGCTTTCTCATGCCTTGGCTGTTGTCTTAAAATTACTCCAGCTGTTATTACTGGCTTTGGAAAGTATCTACCAAGATGGGATGGATCTAAGCAGTGAGGCTGGTGGACTACTTTTGCTACTATGTTCAGAAAAGACTATTGCCATTCTCTCTCTTCTAAGTCTACTGTTGAAACCACTTGGGTCATTAAACAATGCCATCCAGGCATCTGCTACAACCATAGTAGATCTTTGTCCAGCAATAGATCAATCAGAGAGCTATCCATTGAAAAAGTACTGGAAGAAGCAAAGACTTCAGTCCAGAAGTTGACTAATGAAGGCATTTATATTGAATCCTTAAGTGAAGAGGACAAGAAGTGTTTGTTAAGACAACTGAAAAAGTACACAGACTTGATTCTTAAAAATCTACAACAGCGACCTCTAGGGTTACTCAACCTCTATGTAGCTTTTACAGATCCCTGTCTTATAAAACACCGACAGTTGAGTAGAGTAAGGCACTACCAGCAATGGGCAGCAATGGGACTGCCATGTGCTCAGGACAGAATACAGAATTTGAACACACAGTGGAATGTCATACAACAAATGAATGAAGATTTGACTTCAGCTTCTTTTTTTATCATCACTAGTGGCTCAACACGATCTTTGTGCTATGTTTCCTGCAATGAAAGAAGTAGAAATTCATCTCTTGCTACTCCCAGTCACAACAGCTACAGTTGCACATTCTTTTTCATCACTGAATAGAATTTTGTGTTCTGAAAGAAGTCGACTTCTGCCTGATCATGTGAATGAACTAACGAGCATATCAATTGAAGGCCTGGAAGTACCAGACACACGAGAAGCCACGAAAGATGAATGCATTGCATTCAAGAAGTTCATTAACAGAATTGTGCAAAATTATAAGAAACCAAGAAGGATGGAGATGTAATACTTCATAGAAGCCTTGAGTAGCGAACTTTAATTTGTGTGATGATTTTAAAACAGGAGTTAAATCTAATAAAATGGTCATGAAACATTTTTCAGTTTTTAATATGGTGCCATACAGTCCACCTTCACTCTCACCCCACATCAGCCCTGACCACCCCACCCCCCCCAAGTAAATTCAAACACACACCCCCCCATTTCAATTCCTGGGAAAAACAGTGGGCAGATCTGATAAAACAGACTAGGGAGATAGGGAAGCAGGTAGGTACATCATTGGCGTTCTCGGTGCCAACAATTCAGTCTCCCAGATTGCTGGAGAGAATTGCACCCAGGGGAAGAGATTACATATTTTATTCACACCTCAGTTATACACTAGAACAGAGTTAATATTAATCTCTAAATCCTTAATGAAGCTGGCAAGAGCTACAGAAATTGGCAGCATTAAGATCATGTACCAGTGGAAATAACATCTGATCACTTGAATGGGTCCCAAAAGGTCACTTTTTTGAAAAATGAACTGCTTGCTTCTCCAAGATCAAGTTGCAGCAATTAAATGGGACAATGTTCAAAATTTTCAAATAAATGACACAGACAATATAAAAAGAGGCCGTCTCTAGGTGGCAGGGAAAGCAGTATTTAGGCCTTCAGTTGATAAGCAGAGTCTTTCAATTGAAAAAAAAGAAAGGAGCTCAAGAACAAATAGAACTAGAACAGGAGATAAAAAGCTTACAAGACATTCATAAAAACACAGGTTAAAAAAACCCTATCAACCATTAACTAATATTAGGAGAAAACTGAACATATTGATAACAAATTCCACTGAAAAAACCCAT